CAGAACCTTGTGGAACTCCATGACTAACTGTAGTATTTATTGAAGATTCATCGTTAACATGTACAAACTGCGAGCGATCTGATAAATATGACTTAAACCAACTTAGTGCGGTTCCTTTAATGCCAATTTGATCCAGGTCTCTGTAAAAGAATATTATGGTCAATGCTGTCAAATGCAGCACTAAGATCTAATAATACAAGTACAGAGACAAGTCCATTGTCAGAAGCAATCAGAAGGTCATTATTAACTTTAACCAGAGCTGTCTCTGTGCTATGATGAACTCTAAATCCTGACTGAAAATCCTCAAATAAACTTTTGTTATGTAGAAAGTCACACAACTCTTTGGCGACTACTATATAGTATATATAGTGTATATATTTTGTATATATATAGTGTGTATATAGTGTGTATATATAGTGTGTGTGATGTACGTGACTGGAGACTCACATTCAGATCAATGTTTGGCTGCAGATTAACAGAAACGTCAGTAAAACCTTCAGATATTGACTCTGTCACTTTGCTGTGGGTTCACCTGGAGTCAGCGCAGAGGATTGTGGGTATTGTAGTTTCATTAACTGGTAAAATGTTTAAAATGAATCTGCAGAGCAACTAAAGCTGTCAGATAAATGTAGGAGGAGCTGCTCTGGTTCTGATCTCAACCATATTAATTATATTACATTATTATGTGTTAATGAGCGACTGTATGAAGCTGATAATGTTTCTGCAGGTATGATTTAAAGTATGAATCCTGTTGCAGGCGTTACTGTGTGTGTGTGTGTATGTGTGTGTGTGTGTGTGTGTGTGTGTGTGTGTGTGTGTGTGTGTGTGGTTCTGTTCAGCAGGTGGAGTTTAGTTGTTGACTCTCAGTCTGAAGGTCGCTGCAGCTCCTCCGTTCGTCCTTTCATCCTCCTCCACCGCTGCTCAGCACATCACCAGCTCTCCCGCTCAGCAGTAAGTGACCGTCTGTATCTGATCACTGTCATTGATAACCAATATATATCGACACCGAGCAGCCTCTGAGCATAGATTATTATTGATCTTCTGTTTCCTTTGAATGGATTCTTCCGATCAGCTGATTTGAGAAGAGGTGGAACCAACAAAGAAGAGCACAGAGAAGTGAGTCAAACACAAACCATGTGTCCACAACAGGTTTTAAATAAAGTTTGTTTAAAGCTTCAGAATACAAACGGGATGTTTCAGTTTTAATGGACATTACAACAGGACATAGATCTTTAGAAAACAAAAGAATAAGTGTTAGAACTGTTATATGACTTCCTGTTAGCGTACAGTGGTTCCATATGTTGATCAGTTCCTCTAACGGCCACTAGAGGCTGGCTCCAGAGTCAGTCTCCATAAGGCTCATTATTAAAATGTCCAACTTTAGAATAAACCTGTTTACAGCCGGTTGGATCCCTGAGGATTCTGCACAACCTGGTCATACAGATCTAACTGATACTAATCTTCACTTTCTCCGTTGATTTCAGAGTGAAACAGGAAGTTTAAGCTGCAACAATCCTAAAGAAGAACAAAGTTTAAGAGTAAAGCAGTCTGATGGTTGACAGTCATGCTAGCAGCTCTGTGTTGCTCTATCAATGCTAAAAAGCTAACATCAGCATGCTAATGTGCTCCCAGTGACAATGCTAACAATGCTAATGCTTAGCTCCTGAACATGCTAACACTCCTCCTCTTAGTGTTAGCATGCTAGCATTAGCTGATCATCAGTAAACACAAAGTACAGCAGAGGCTGATGGGAAAGTCTGTGGTTCTGCAGGTATTTGCTGACAGACAGACAGACAGACAGAGAGAGAGACAGACAGAGAGACAGACAGACACACAGACACACAGACAGACAGACACACAGACAGACAGACAGACAGACAGACAGAGAGACAGAGAGACAGACAGACAGACAGACAGACAGACAGAGAGACAGACAGACAGACAGACAGACACACACACACACAGACAGACAGAGAGACAGACAGACAGACAGACAGACAGACACACACACACACACACACACACACAGACAGACAGACAGACACACAGACAGACAGACAGACAGACAGACAGACAGACAGACACACACACACACACACACAGACAGACAGACACACACACAGACAGACAGACAGACAGACAGACAGACTCCTCTCGGTGGTCGTCACAGTAACGCTGAAGCCTTCGATCCGTTGCCATGGTAACCACATGGTATTTATAGAGCTGATAATGAAGCGGAGCAGAGACCTCCTCCTCCTCCTCTTCCTCCCTCCAGCTTCATAATGAGTCTGTATCTGTGTTCAGAGTGTTTGAGGTTCAACCCGTGTTTCTGTTCTTGAAATCACCTTTCAGAACCTCCAGGACCTCCAGGACCTCCAGAACCTCCAGGACCTCCAGAACCTCCAGGACCTCCAGAACCTCGTGGACCTCCAGAACCTCCAGGACCATGTCTCTGTCTCAGAACACTTCTGATCTCAAACCATCTGGACTCAAAGGTTTCTGTTTGTGGCTCCATCGCTGCTCCTCCCTCCTCCCCTCCTCCTTCCCCTCCTCTCCCTCTCCCCGTCAGCTGTGGTGTCCCCCCCTCCCCCCCGAGGTCTCGTCGCCTCCCCCTGCTGGTCGTCCTGCTGCTGTGCGCTCTGCTGCTGATGCTGCTGCTGCTGCTGTGGAACTACCACTGTCTGTTCGTCTCCCACATCTGCTCCCCGCCGGGGGAGGACGGCCAGGAGGGAGGGTCATGACCTCACCTCCTGAAACCAGTCTGAACTGGTTCAGTCCTGCTCAACACAGATAACTGACTTAGTTCAGAATATTTAGTTTCATAATCTACAAAGTGCTGCTCAAATACAGGAACCCATTTTATATCAGCACTGAAACAACCAGGAGGGAGTAAAATGTCTGTCTTTACCTTCTTAGTAAAAACAGAATCTGAGCAGCAGAAGAGGAGATCTCCTGACTTTAGTCCAAAAACACTGGATCCTACATTTCCCACAATGCAGCTGGAGAGTGTCTTTAAACTCCACACCTCCAGGTTGTGACGCAGACTGTGAGACATTTGTAGATCTGGGAGCGCAAAAATAATGGTGGAATGTTCCTCTAAAATATTTTCACAATAAAAGCTTGTTGATTGCTTTGCCTGCCTGCTTGACTTTTGTTTTAAATTTTCAGAGTAAAAGCTAAAATTCAGGCTAAAATAAAGGTTTTATTAATCCGATGATGTAATAGGGACATTTTAGAGTGTTTAACTTAAATTAAATGAACAATACACAAAACTATAAAAATAAAAGTTGAATTTTAAAAACCTCCAGATTAAAGATCTGAGGTGAACTTTGTGGAGAGATTTCAATTAGTGACTTCTGTTGTAGATTGTTGAACATTGAAGAGTATTCTGAAAGCTAATTTAATGGACGAAGGGATTTTGGTAAGTGAAGTGTCCACTGTGTCTGTGGAATGACAAACCGAACATCTGAACAACAAAAAGACAGACTGATCATGCAGATGCAAAATGAAACAATTATACAGCAAAGACTGACTGGCAAACATTTGGAATTTAGGGATTTGGTTCTGCCGTCCAGTCACTGGTGTTTGCATCCAGTGTCAGTTTGTTTGACAAACTGTAATCTGGTTGTTCTTGAACAATTTAAACAGTCGATACCTAGCTATGCAGCCACATACAGCAATGAATGCAAAGCAAAGATTCCAAACGATTCTGCTGTCCCTGTGGATGAATATGTATTGACACAACAACGTATCTAACAGAATGATATTGGTTCAGAAACTATGGCTGACCGGTCTCAGTCGGGGTTTGGGTTCAGATTTTCCTAAAAAAGACACGTAAAAATAAGTGAGTGTGTAATTACTGTCGACAGAAGAGGCGCAGGGAAAAACAATGTTTGTTGTTGAAGACAAAAAGAGGCATCAATGCGTCCCAAGTTCAGTCTACTGTGTTGACTGTACCAATTGCCTCTACAAGGAATAAGCTTATGTCTCCATTTCAGATGGAAGCTTAAACTTTGGGTGCAGCAGAGATTACAGTGGGGGGCATTCACATCTGAGGAGGTTGCTGTTGAAATACTGCGAGATTCTGGTGCCTTGAATAGTTTTAATCATACACTCTTCTAAATGATTTATTGCTATGTACACCTACTAATAGCTGCATATTGGAGTGCACAACATTGTAGCACTGGCTTCACACATGCTAATGCTGGGAAGTACATCAGCCACAGGTCAGGATCAAGACCTGCAGAGGCCCTGTACTGTATGAGATCCTGACTCATTGCGAAAAGAAAGTCATACACCACGATCGACTGAAGCCCTACACGAGTGATGTGATTCCTGCATAGATCGACAGAGACAGTGCCCCCTTTCACAGGGGTAGGACCTAGCCACAACACCTACATGTTGGTGTTATAGTGATCGCTCGCTGGCTCTGGTGTGGACTCGAAAAGTTTGTCTTCAGCGGCGTTCAAGACGGAGGTTGTGTTGATGCAATCTATAGGAAAGACATTAAAACAACATCTCCATTCTTGCTGCTCATTCTTTTGAATATCTTGCTTTCAAACTCTCTGGTCCAACTCCCCTGGTCACAGCTGTTATCTACCGCCCCCCAAACTAAACACCTAATTTCTTCCTGATCTCTCTGATTTCCTGACCCAGGCATCCAGACTGTAATGTTACATGAAATGTAAGGTTGCCATCCTCCATAGTAAAAGAAGAGAAACGTTACATTCCAGAGTAATCCATTCCCATTCAAGTCAACATCTACATTTTCCTCGTAAGTAGTGGCTAACAGTATGTTTAACTATAAGATGGCTAAAACAAACCACTCTGAACCACTGTCTCTCGGTGAGATACGGCCAATTACACAGCCGGTAAAGACTGGCTGTTGGCAAGTAAAGACAATATACTCAGCCAGTGGGGGAAGAAGCTCATCAATTAAAGCAGAACCTGATCAATGGTGTTTAATCATCTACATTTCCTCCTTTGTCTCTGTAGTTGCTGACTGCCTTTGATGCCCTGAAGGGAATTAGAGTCATCCATGCGGAAGCCCGACAATATAATGCTGGCAAACCACCTGGATGAGCCCTTCAAGGTGAAACTCATAGACTTCGGGGTGTCCTGGGATGACGGTTCAACCTCTGGGTTACATGTAGGTTCAGTTTGCATCTTCTCAGGTGTTTAAGATAGAAACAACCCAACAGATCAACCTTCAGTATTCACATGTTCTTAACAGCTCTTGTGATTCTTGTATACAACACACAGGGCACCCGAAGTCACCCTGGGTCTCCCCTTCTCTGAGGTCATAGACCTGTGGGATCTTGGCTGTGTGCTTTCGCCTTCTTGTACATCGGGAACCACCTTTTCTGGATACACAGTGAGTACCAGATGGTAAGAGAATAAATCTGTTCAGATTTAAACATACTGCTCCAAACCCAACAGGAGACTTGATGTGATTCTTTATATTGTCTTTATAGATGTGCGGCATTGTTGGCGCACTGGACCAACCAGCTGACCACCTCCTCTGTGCTGGCAGGAACACCTACAAATACTTAGAGCTGAACCAGCACTGAGACCACCCAAGATGGCGGATAAGGGTATTTTAACCTGCTTCTCCTCCATCCTATCATTTTAGTCTCCCAGTCCGAGAACAACTCTTGGAAAAGATTCAGACCAAGGAAGACGTATCTGACTTGTGTATTTTGTTCCTGTAGACCCAAAATGAATACCAGGTGGACACTGGCACTGCGCTTAAAAGATGGAGGAGGTCTTTAAGAAGCCTGAATGACCTGATAACAGTAAGTGGTCCATTCATGAGTAAAGAATAAACTCACAGCAGTTTGTCTTACTGAGAGACAGGAAGCAGATTTACTCAACTACAATCAACTGTGTTTTAAATCCAGCTCTACCCAGAGATGCAGGAGTCCATTGAGCTGGAGGATCAGAGGACATTTATGAGCCTCCTGAAATGTCTTCTGCACATGGACCCTGAGAAGAGGATCAGTCCTGAGAGAGTCTCCAGCACCCCTTCGTCACATTGGCGCACCTGGAGGCTGAGAGGGACACCAGCATGTAGTAAGTGACCGTGTGTCCGCTATCAGTACGGTTGGCCCCATACACCATTGTATCATATACGTCATTACGGCATTACATAGCAACTTTGATGAGTGCTGTGAAACCTCGACAATCCTTTATTTCTGTGTCTATACCAGGGTAGTAGTTCAGGAGACACACATTTGTTGATGTGACATGGAGATAAAAACAGAATTCAGAGATCAGATCAGCAGTGAGTCAGAAAATGACATTTGAAAAGCTTGTTCTGCTTCTTACAAAAGTCTAAACTGACATGACTCAGATGAAGATATTGACTGTTTGTATCAAGAAGAAATAAATTATTGAAGTTTGACAGTTTATTTATAAGTCACATTATGTTATATGTGATATTTGCTACTGACTAATTACACCATAATTGAGGTAGCTCAATTCTTTGTGTTTAGTTTTGTCACTGTTTGTAGTTTGTGTGTAGGTACAACTTGGCTCCTGGGCTTCTGGAACTGACTGTAAGCTAACTTTGTCATTCTGCTACTGGGGTGGTCAACCGCCTGCCACATCGTTAGCTACCACAAGCTCACCTGCTCATCCCGCCGAGATCCTTCCGTCCCGGTGTGGTAAGCCCTGTAGGTTTTCTCCGCTAGCCACCACGGCACCAGGTTGACCTCCATCCTCAGGGTAGGTGCAAGGCTAGCAGACCAGTAGCCCTTCCAGGCTACCGCACCTCCTCAACACGCTGTTGGTTCCTGCCGCTGTAATGCTGTGGATCATTCTGTGGATACTCTTGGGGTGCATATGGCTTCTTCCCCTGGACACCTTGTGCTTTTGGTCACAAGCCCACGCTAATTCTGTGCTAGCACTCTCCATTCAGAACATGCCAGCGCTGTATTCCGCCTCAGATCTTCATAATCTCAACAACAACCTGCGACCGGACTGCTTGGACATTCTTTAATCAAACAGGATTACTATGCAAACGGCATCCTACACACAGAGGCTCTGGTTGTTTGTTTACCTACAACTTCACGTCCCCTAACTCCATCCCATCCCTCTGGTCTCATCGCGGTGTAACTTCTGCATTATGTCATTGTGAATCTGTCCAATCTCCGTCTCCTTCCTCGGTCCTCACAACCGATCATAAAGCAACATCATCTGAAACTGGCCTTGCTCAAACCTCGTTCACTCAACAATAAAAGTCTCATTCTGAATGAGTTCATAACTGACAATAACCTGGATTTCCTCTGCCTCACTGAGACCTGGCACAAACCCCTGGACTATTTCTCACTAAACCAGAGCACTACCACAGGACTGACATACAGTGCTGTGAAAAATATTTCCCCCCTTCCTGATTTCTTACTTTTTGCACATTTGTCACACTGAAGTGTTTCAGATCATCAAACTAATTTTAATAGATAACCTGAGTAAATACAAAATTTTGGTCCACTATTCTTTGCAGTTGTTTTAATTCAATTGGATTTAAGTCTGGACTTTGACTAGGCCAATCCAAATCCTTCATTTCTGTTTTAAGCCATTCAGAGGTGGACCTGCTGGTGTGTTTCGGATCATTGTCCTGCTGCATAACCCAAGTGTGCTCGAGCTTGAGGTCACAAACAGATGGCCGGACATTCTCCTTCAGGATTTTCTGGTAGAGAGCAGAATTCATGGTTCCATCAATTATGGGAAGTGGTCCAGGTCCTGAAGCAGCAAAGCAGCCCCAGACCATCACACTACCACCACCATGTTTGACCGATGGTATGATGTTCTTTTTATGAAATGCTGCTTTAGTTTTACACCTGATGTAACAGGATGCACACCTTCCAAAAAGTTCAACTTTTGTCTCGTCAGTCCACAGAACATTTTCCCAAAAGTCTTGGGGATCATCAAGATGTTTTTTGGTAAATGTGAGGCGAGCCTTTGTGTTCTTTTTGGTCAGCAGTGGGTTTCACCTTGGAACTCTCCCATGGATGACATTTTTGCTCTGTCTCTTTCTTATTGTTTAATCATAAACACTGACCTCAACTGAGGAAAGGGATGCCTGCAGTTCTTTAGATGTTGTTCTGAGTTCGCTAGAGTCCCAAAACCCTTTCCAGACTGATAGATGTCAATGATTTTGTTTTTCATCTGTTCTTGAATTTCTTAACATCGTACCATGATGTGTTGCTTTTTGGGATCTTTTAGTTTACTTCAATTGGCAGACAGTTTCTATTCAAGTTGTTTCTTGATTCAAAAGGTCTGGCAGTAATCAGGCCTGGGTGTGGCTAGTGAAATTGAACTCAGCTTTCCAAACAATTTGGTTAATCACAGTTCATTAACAAGGGGAGGGGGGGGCAATTACTTTTTCACATAGGGCCAGGTAGGTTTGGATAGCTTTTTTCCCTTAATAAAGAAATCATCATTTAAAAACTGCATTTTGTATTAACTCGGGTTATCTTTGTCTAATATTAAAATTTGTTTGATGATCTTTCCGGACCCAACTATGTGCCATCTCACCCTCTGTTCTCCTCATAGGTGACTTCAGTTTCCACATTGCTGAGTCTATCTGTAAATCTGCCACAGATTCCCTACAATGCTTCAACTTCATTCAGCACATCAACTTCCTCACAGCCGTGGTCACACACTGCCACTGATAATCTCGCCCATCTTGTCAACTATTATAATGAAACACTCTCCTCTTGCCTTGACTAGCTTGCTCCCATTAGAACCAAAACAGTCTCATTCACACACTCAGCTCCCTGGTATACTCCTGAACTCCACCAAATGAAATCCCACAAACTCCAGTTTGAAAGACTCAGAAAGAAAACTGGACTAACAGTGCATTTCCAAGCCTACACAGATTACCTATAGCAATACAAAGACACTCTAACCACTGCCCAGTCCATCTATTACAAACAGACAAACATGTGATGTGTTTATGTAACTCCCATTGACGGCCCATTCAAAACAAATAACATTAAAATATTAATACTTCAGTAACTGTAACAGATATCAAAAAGAGAATAAGTGACCATATGTTTATATGTGAAATTACACAACAACATGAAGTAAAACCTCCACAGAGGAAACCGTTCTGTTTGAATCAGTCAGCAATTCACTCAACATTTCCTTTGGAACAATATTTCTAACCATAACCAGGATGTTGGTTAAGATCTGTTCCAGGACCAGCTAACACACAGGTGTCATGTTCCAATAAAACAGACCTCTGGCCTGCAGTCTGTCAGTGACAATCGGCCATTTTGTCCTCATTAGCATTAGCCACTGAAACCAGGAGGGGTTTTTCAGAAACATAGTTCTTGATTTTAAGATGGTTAGGCAACATATTTTCTTCAATTATAATAATAAAAATAATAATGATAATAAACAACATGTGATATTCTTGTTGAAACTTCATCTCTTTCAAAAGGGTTTAACAGTCTGACTGCAGGTCAAAGGTCGGATTGATTGCAGTGTGATCCTGTGTTGCTGCAGGGTTTGGGTGGATCATATTCATAAAAGCAATGGGGAGAATTACTGCAAAAATTATTATTATCTATGTTATCTTCCTGAAATCTCTTTGAGAATCAGTTTGAAGAGACTTGAATCAGTTTTTTGTTTCAATGATATTATTCTTCATTCTGCAACGAAGAATAAATAATTGTGTTTCAGATGAAGGTGGTGCACTTCATTGCTTATATTAAGAATAAATGACAGACATAAAGGCAGTCATATTTACTGTATTAACAGTTATTTCCTCTGTGGATGAATCCACCACTTGCTGCAGTGTCATCAGTCTCTGTTTCCCTTTGTGTATTTGTGATTGGGTTTATGTTGAGATCTATGTAAAGTAAGGACTAAAACAACAAAGGTTTGTCATATAAAAAGTGTAGAGAAGTCAGTTACTCAGAAAAAGGAGCAATGATGAAAGTCTATATAAAGTTGGAATATGAGTGTTGCTGTAACTTTGTTCTTATGGATCACTGCAGGTACTCGTCACAGTCTGACATGGCTGTAAATCTGTGTGTCAGGACGACTGTTGAGGTCACTGGATGTTAAATTCACTTTGTTCTTCCTGTTTTACTGATGAAAAAGGTCGTCTCAGTTCTCAGGTGAGTTCAGGTACAGATATCTGCAGGTCCTCAGTGAAAGCAGTGACAGGGTGTGTCTAGGTCATATAACTGTAGTTCGGGTCAAAGTCAAAGTTATTCTGTCCAATCAGGTTCCTTGTTTTCTGCTGACACACCTTCTGTCTCTTTGTCCTCAGCGATCAGTGAGTCAGTTATCACTGTGAAGTCTGTGTGTTCTTTTATTGGATGGAAAACGACGCAGAAACACTTTCTGGTGAGTAGATTGAAGATAAATATGAACAAATGAAAATATACATTAAGTGATGAGATTAATGAGCTCAATCTGTTATGCAGTCCGGTAAACAGTCCGAAATGTTCAGTTGTTGTTGAGATGAAGAAACTAGCCTACTTATAATACTTTGTGGAGCTGGTATGAAAGTATAAAATCCATTTTACAGAACTATTATACTGAAGGTCCTTACAGCGTATATTGGTTTCTATATTTCTGGTCACTCCTGTTTCTGGTAAACCCATTTAAATAAATATTTTGCACATTTTAAATATTGAGTGACAGACTTTTGAATAGACCAGAGGTTGCAGTGCAGCAAACTGTTGTCACAATTCAGTGGATGCACAGAAACATATTCAGCTCTGTGGGATTTACAGGTGATTTATTGTGATTTTTTAAAGTTTTGGAATTTGAAAGGCTTAATAACCGACCACATGGAGGCACTATTGAATACATGCTTTAATATGTTCTCTATGGGACCAGGTTGGATGACTTTAGCATGTATAGTATTTGATATTTTGATGTGTTTATGCAACTCCCATTGACGGCCCATTCAAAACAAATAACAGTAAAATATTAATATCTCAGTAACTATAACAGATTTCAAAAAGAGAATAAATTACCATATATTTAAATGTGAAATTATTAAAAATTAAATATGTTAGTTAATTAGTTACTGAACAAAAAGAGTATTACAGTCTATCAGTTGGAGTATGATTCTTACTGTAATTTTCATTTTAGGAATCAGTTAGTGTGGATACGACGACGACTAAGATCTTCTAAATGAACATAATAAAAGTTGATCATTAGCTTCCACTGCTTACAGTTCTTCTAACTCTGGAGAGGATCCAACTGAAGTTGACAATAAAACACAGTCTCACTGACTGACTGCTGGTTGGACTGTCTCTCTCTCTGTAACTAACTTTTATCACCTACCAAATAAAACATCATAAGATTACTCTGAAGTGCAGGCGGATAATGTTCAGACTAATTTCAGGTCTTGGTACACATTGTTGTTAAGATGAAAACTGTTTGCTGCAGAAATGCAGATTTCATATTTGTCAAAGTCATTTCTAAATAACAACATGAAGTAAAACCTCCACAGAGGAAACCTGATGAACCGTTCTATTTCTGTTTGAATCAGTCAGCAATTCACTCAACATTTCCTTTGGAACAATATTTCTAACCATAACCAGGATGTTGGTTAAGATCTGTTCCAGGACCAGCTAACACACAGGTGTCATGTTCCAATAAAACAGACCTTTGACCTGCAGTCTGTCAGTGACAATTGGCATTAGCCAGTGAAACCAGGAGGGGTTTTTTCAGAAACATGGTTCTTGATTTTAAGAAGGTTAGGCAACATATCTTCTTCAGTAATGATGATAATAGTAATAATAATAATAATAATAATAATAATAATAATAATAATAATAATAATAATGATAATCAACATGTGATACTCTTGTTGGTTGATCATAATCAAGTTTCCAAACAGAAAAGAGTTTATTTAACAGACCGACTGCAGGTCAAAGGTCGGATTGATCGCAGTGTGATTGGTATTGCTGCAGGGTTTAAGTGGATCATATTGATAAAAGCAATGAGGGGAATTACTGCAATAATTATTATTATCTATGAGTTTTTTATTTCTTCAATGCAACAACTTTCTTCCTCAACTCTCTTTGAGAATCAGTGTGAAGAGATTTGAATCAATTTGTGATTGGGTTTATGTTGAGATCTAAGTAAAGTAAGGACTAAAACAACAAAGGTCTGTCATATAAAAAGTGTAGAGAAGTCAGTTACTCAGAAAAAGGAGCAATGATGAAAGTCTATATAAAGTTGGAATATGACTGTTGCTGTAACTTTGTTCTTATGGATCACTGCGGGTACTCGTCACAGTCTGACATGGCTGTAAATCTTTGTGTCAGGACGACTGTTGAGGTCACTGGATGTTAAATTCACTTCGTTCTTCCTGTTTTGATGAAGAAAAAGGTCGTCTCAGTCCTCAGGTGAGTTCAGGTACAGATATCTGCAGGTCCTCAGTGAAAGCAGTGACAGGGTGTGTCTAGGTCATATAACTGTAGTTCGGGTCAAAGTCAAAGTTATTCTGTCCAATCAGGTTCCTTGTTTTCTGCTGACACACCTTCTGTCTCTTTGTCCTCAGCGATCAGTGAGTCAGTTATCACTCTGAAGTCTGTGTGTTCTGTTATTGGAGGGAAAATGATGCAGAAACAATTTCTGGTGAGTAGATTCAAGATAAATATGAACAAATGGAAATATACATTAATTGATGAGATTAATGAGCTCAATCTGTTATTTAGTCCGGTAAACAGTCCGAAATGTTCAGCTGTTGTTGAGATGAAGAAACTTAGGCTACTTATAATACCTTGTGGAGCTGGTATGAAAGTATAAAATCCATTTTACAGAACTATTATACTGAAGGTCCTTACAGCGTATATATTGGTTTCTATATTTCTGGTCACTCCTGTTCCTGGAAAACCCATTTAAACAAATACCTGATGTGTGTTGACCTTCCAGGCCTGGTGATCAGATGGACCAGTCACAGCTTGTAACTGCCTCCATAACTTCAATACCTCAATCTGCTTCATTCTCACTTTAACCAATAAAAACACTGTGGCAGACGGACAGCTCAATATTACAGCTTCAGCTTCAGGTACAGGCTCCAAGTTCAAATGTTCAAACCTGTCAAACAAACTACAGACAGCTGATGTGTTAAAGTAGAGGTTTGCTTGTTTGTGCTCACAAATGAAAGATTGATTCAATTCTCCAATTTAGAAATCAAAGCTGTTTTTATATCTTTACTGGGACTCTTTCAGTCCACAGATAAGAAAGTAAATGATTGGTCCAAAGTGTAGGCGCCATGAGGAAAAACCCTGATGTGATTAAGATTGCAGCGATAAGAACTAATACTGATTAATCTCACTGTAGTACGACTATAAAGGTAGAAAAGTAGCTGCACTGTGCAAAATAAAAATAGAAGTTGTT